GAGACGTCCTCGTCGAGTCTTGAGGAGCCTTCGCGTCTATTTATTTATTTTTGAGCGTCGGTAGAAAGATGACTCCGTTCCCAGAAACGGTGAGTGATCCGTCATAAAGTGATATCGAGACGTCCTCGTCGAGTCTTGAGGAGCCTTCGCGTCTATTTATTTATTTTTGAGCGTCGGTAGAAAGATGACTCCGTTCCCAGAAACGGTGAGTGATCCGATGAAACTTGGTACACTGATGTAACAAGTCAAGAAGATGATAAAAAGGTAATAAAAAGTGGGGGTCACCATGCTCGTTTTGACGTCACAGTGCTGACAAATACGGCTATTTTGGACCCTTTAACAAAAACGGCGCGCAGCGCAAAACTAGACAAAAAGGAAAGATTTTTTCAATGATGCATATAGTATCGCACAGAATTTGACTTTAATGTATTGTTTATCCACTACGTACCAGAAAAATGCCTTTTAATGCCCTTGTTTTTACTTTACGCTCCAAAGTAGAATTAAATTGGACACGCGCTATTCGACCCGTGATAGCTCAATCTGTACAATTTAGTAAAATTGCCAAAAAACTGAACATAGATTTGTGCCAATTTTTTTCTCACCGAAAGTAAACACTGTCCTTATTAAAATCATGAAATAAAAAATGGGGGTCATCGTACTCGTTTTTGTGGTAGAGCTGCAGAAAGTGCGCACCAAATGCATTTTCCTTGATTTTTGAGAGAGGACTGGGGCGAGTTTCAAAATAGAATGTATATGAAAGGGGGAAGAAAGTATTAAAAAATCCGTTTTTAGAGAATTTACATCGAGATATCACATTTAGGACACAATATGATAAAGAAAGCGTTTAAATGAAAATCAGAGTGAATAAGCACAAATTAAACATCCCCTATCGAGGTTCTCCGTGAGGAAGTCGAACTCAGCAACACGCGTACTGCTTACGTTACGCACATTCCCACCACACTGAGTCTCACCTCGGCAAGAAACAACCGCAAGCAAAAATTGCGATAGCGTTTCTCTTCGGTCAGCTTCATTTTAATAATGTTACTTCACATGCTCTTTTTTACGGAGGCCATCTTGTTATGTGCAGTAAGAGATGCGCAGTGCTCCTGGCAGTGCAAAACCAGGAATTCACCGTAAGTTTCCTATTGTTTCTCTTATTTTTCGCCTACATGCCTTGTTAGTGTCCGTTTGTACTAAGGATTGAGGAGGGGAAGATTGGAAAATCCAATGAGGGGAAAAAGGACAATTTTGAATTGTTTCGTATTGTTGGACGAAATTCTTTCTTAAAGAAGTTTTAGGTCTCTTAGCAAACGAAGAAACCAACTTCATGCTCAATAACCTTTCAAGTTAAGGCGAGGCTGTGAATATTATGACTGCCTGAAATTGAAAGAGTTTTATTTTTATTTTGTTTCTTTATAGCCGTATGGCTTTTACACTTGCAAATCAGTGACTTAGTCCATATATTTTCAAAGTCTTTTTTTTAAATAATTGCAAATGGTGTGGTTTGTAAACACGAAACACGGGGTGTGTGAGACAAAATGACGACCCGTCCTAAAATATAATTTTCTTGATTCTTATTTGTTTTGTTTTGTGTTCAAAATTTTTGCTGTATTGTACTTAAGGATTCGCTTATTTGTTTTGCTGACCGTGGGGAAGGGGGGAATGGTACTGGTGTGTACGCGGAGATTTCGTTTCATGAATTTTACATTTTTTCCCCATTTATTTATTTATTTATTTATTTTCATTTTATTTTTCCTTTACTTTTTTTTTACCCACGACATACACCCACACCCACAACCACACCCACGACCCATGACCACTACCCACGGCATTTAGCTACACTCGTCCAGTTCCGGTCAGGCGACCATTCAAATTCAAATACTGCCACGCAAGTCGTCGTGGTGGCCGTTTGGGTAAAGTCAGGCTAAGGCCCCGTCGTCCACACGTATCCGGATGTTTTTGAATCCGCAAATTTTTCTTTTATCTGAAAGTCTTGAATAAATATTGATGGTAAAGAACTGGGCTCGATCTTGCGACATTAGTGGATAAAAAAATATCCGGATCTAGCGGATACATAGTGGATTCAAAAATTTCCTCTCTGGAGAGCTGATTCAAAAATATCTGGATACAAGTGGGCCTTATCACTTGTCATTAGTTAACAGTTTATTGTTACGCTTCATTTAGAATTAAAATCTCTCTGTGAGTTCCCTTGCAAACATTCAGCTAGGTCAACTAAAGTGACTAAAAATCAACTGGTTCAGTTTACATCGGGAGAAGAACTTTCCCAGAAGAATCAAAGTAGCTAATTTGAAGAGTTCGTTTTCACTGGTTCGAACTGGTGCTATTTCCTCATTCTTAACGACCCCCATCAATTTAAGAATAGTTTTGTGGCCTTAAAATGACTTAAGCTGAGCAAGTAAAGGAACAGATACTAAAATAAAAATAATATAAGCAGTGATTTCCAGTGATCGTGAAATACGGTTATGAGGATGGTCAGTTTTGGCAGCTACGATTGAATTTGTCTAAGTTAATCAAACTATCACTGATTCCGTAAAGGACAAGTGAATAAAATAAAGTGTGAAGTATAAATTCTTATGTGAACACGTACCTGAAGAGTACTTATAAGTCTGTTGGATGAGTGTTTTGAACAGGAAAGATTTAACCGATTTCTACGATTTTTAGCATCCTTGATGAAAAAGGGCGAACTTTAAGAAAATGTTATTAATTTTCTTGTAGGTATAAATACGTTTGCGATATCGACATTGAGTAAAATCCTACTAGTGGTCTATCATCAATGCTGCTTTCTGATTGGTTGAGCTACCACTAGGCTATATGTTACAGGCCACTGCAGGTAGCGAAAAGCGCCGGCTTTGAAAACCAAAACAATAGGGGCTGAATCGCGTTTAGCTAGCTAAAGTTGTTTTGTCTCGATATTTTTGACCAACTAGTTGGATTTTACTCATGGCCTCTGAGTCAATAGTCCATTCGGGCTTGAGGAATGATTGATAAATAGTTAAAATCACAGTTTTGAAAAAAATGTCAATAACTTTGAAATCCTACCACAGATATTTTCCTAACTTAACTAAATAATTCTCAGAGTTATCTATAGTTTTGTATCTGCAAGTTTGAAGTCAATTGTGACATACAACGCACTGCACAAAATGCTGGTCCAATTTAACCTTAAAATGCTACGCTCACACCTTGGTGAAAGTTAACGCACTGGGTAATCAACAACCATCGGCGAATACAGTTATCATTAAAAGAAGACGAACAACTGGGCTCAGATGAGAAAAAAGTCATTCCTGAGTGAACCTTTATTTAACAAGGTTCAGTCCAGAAAAAGCTAAAATTAATACTGTATTGCTTTAATTTTATACTGATTTTACAAGCAAGGTTAGCATAACATACAAAAAAACGAGAAAGTTGAAAAAAAAGAGAGAGACTATCACCTTGTAGGTCAAAAATGGCACCGCACTCCAAGAAAATTCGAGTCTCAAAATGGCCTGTCAGGCAAGTAGAGAAAACGAACTTCAACAAATACATGCAGGTAAGGTCTTTTTCAACTGGCGCCGAAAGGAAAAAAGTGAGGAATTTGTTTGATCAAATCAATAACAGTCAAGTAAATTTTCGTCTTGATGTGAAGCCGCTAAAATTATGTCCTGGATAAAAGACACAGGGTCAGATCTGACCGAGCTATCTGCAGCTTCAGTAGACTGGGTCAGAGAAGGAAAGTCTGTAGAACGCAAAACGTCCTTAAACTTTTCAAAGTCAAAGCTCTTTCCAAGAGACTCCTGGAATTCCCCAGATGTTTTGATACTTTGCTCGTTGTAGATTCCTTCGGGATTCGCAATGTTTTGCAACGAAGCTAATAATTCCAGGGCTTTCTCACAGACCATAACATCACAGTCATTTAAAACTTCGTTCAGGATATTCAATGCGCCCATGTCAAAAAGCAGCTGGAAGAGTTCTTTCATATTTTCAAAATCTATTTCTTCCTCGACGCTAGCTTTGCTCCTTAAGCTAGCCTTTTCCCTGCTGCTGCCTTGAAAAGAGACGAAGGAATCAATCACTGCCTCCCAAAATTCAAGTCCTCGAAGTTTGACTTCCCAGTCAAGGTCCTTACACGCGTGACACACACTTCGGGCTATTTCGAATTTCGTTATTGCCTTCGTACCTTCCGACTGACTAACAACTCTCAACTTCTGAGAATCGTCAGACTTCGGAATTCCCTCGGAAAGCTCGTCTGCTGATAATAATTCCACGTTTGTTCTCATCCTAGGCGGACTTATAAAATTCCTGCCGACGGTTCTTCCGGAATGTAATTGGTGCGGCTGGCCAAGCTGTAGACGTTTTTCCACAATAGGATGTCTCGCTTTTACCCATAAGCTAAGGCATTCTATGGCTCTTCTTCGTGGGAACGCCTCGTCATCGTTCTCAAGAATAGACAAGAACTGCTGCAAAATGCTTTCCTGTCGAAATATAAAAAGCACAGAAGGAGCATAAGCACTAACATAAGTTAAGACATTAGAATGTATTTCCTTTAAATTTTGGACAAAATTCAGTCCAGGACAGCTCAGCTCCATTTTATTGAAAAAGCGGGAGATGAGATGTACGTATGGTTTGCGGTTCTGTTTTTTTTAGAGCTTCCAATCATCAACTTGTAGACAAAAAGAACTAAAACTGAAATGCTTTTTAAGCTTTCAAATCTGAATTCAAATCTCGCACTAAACCTGGGTTATCTTAACCCGGCTTTGAACAACTCGGCCCAGGAGTTTTTTCCCTTGCGGCGGGGGGGGGGGAGGGGGGGGTTGCGATTTCTTCCTGCTTGTTTCTATTACTTAATACCTCGGTTAAATGACTGATTTGAAGAAGTGATATCCAAAGCTGTGATTGACAGACGAGGGAACCAATCACATGAACAGCAGTAGCACGGACATAACTGTCCGCGTCATCAGTAGCATTCCACACCATCACATGTATGCTGTGTCGACAGAGAAACTCGTGAATTGAATCTTAAAATGAAATAATGATAGCAAATTAATTCATATTTTCCTAATATTTTATTACGCAATAAAAAAACTACATTTATCTACTGTGAAAACCTATATCAATTGGGTACCGTGTGTTAGGCACGAAACATGACAATAATTGCCAACTTAGTCTCTAATATTTTTTCTCTCATATTTTCTGTAAAACAACCTAAGCGGAAACCTTAAGTAAGTGGACGGTAGTAGAAGATCCCGTTGGGGTCCGCTGAATACGGGGTTTACAATTCTTACTAACGATCATCTGAGAGATATAACCTGAGTTAATCTTGGATATCTTAAGTTATGAAGGAAGATGTTGTGTGTCTCTGAACAACAAGAAAATTGAAGATGATTTTTCAGAGACTAACCATGATTAACTTGCAAGAGAGAAGCAACAAACTCCAGAGATGAGTCTTTAACTTCCCATCTGGAGTCACGTAATCTCTGAGAGAGCACCAAAGCCAGCTTCTCACTGTCTACTCTTTTAACAGTCATCTCCTGTTGAACATCTTTCCACGAATCACTACTGTCAAGTCGCGCTTGCTTTGTGGGAATCTCTCTTTGGCAGCTGAACAGTTCAGTGATAAATTCTTCCCTGGTGACGTTGAGTAGTTTTCCTAATGTCTTCAAAGAACTGGAGATCACCTTTACAACAGATAAAAACAGGAGGTAAAATGTAGGATTTTAGTTAGTTTTAAAATATGAGGAAGTTTAATTTGGAGGTGTAGAGATCCGAGCATCAGAATTCACACCTAAGGGTTGTAGCTTGAGCCCTGGCCCATGGTTTACGGTCGTTTCGCCAAAGTCTCAAGTCATTTCGATTACGTGTTGGTTCAGTTCCCTAATTGACTTCCCCTCTTCAGTGGCTGAAAGAACGAGGTATGCACATGCCTAGCGCTCATTTCTCTTCTTATGCAGAAACAAGACAAGATGTGATATTTAAATGGAAGAATATTTTATTACCGAGTGGTTTTATTTTTTTGTTTAATGTTGGGTCATCTCGATGTTAAGCATATTGACCGCATGAGTCTCTCTATTTGAGTTTTCTAAATGGCTTATTGTACCATAATAAATAAGCTGTGCAAAGTTTTGAATATTGCAGGCTACTTTTCCCAAAAGACAAAAAGAGCATGAAGTTTCTGATGGACATTGGTGAGCTGGAGCTTCAAGGATAATAATGAAAATACTCACAGATGCACTTGACTCTGAACTCTCAATAAGTTGAACTAGTGTAACGACCACGTCATTAAACATTTGATTTACAGTGCAAGAATCAGTGTGTTCCAAAATAACTGCAATAAAAAAATGTTGTGAGTAAACACCAGGATAATTTACAGAGCCAAATTAATTAGGGCCTCTAAATCTCAGAAGACTAAGTATAAAAATATGCAATATAGACTCCTGACAGTCTACTGACAGCAAAGTGGTAACATATTAAACTTTGAAAAGTAAAAGTAACAACATAACCTTAGCTTTAATGTTTTTTGCCTAGCTTTCGCAAATTTCTCATGTTTAACTGTAGTGAATGTGTAGACTTGCTACAAGTCGACCTCTTGGCGAGTGGAGCGAGCCTTGTTTGGCCGCAAAGCAGTCGACCGCGAGTGAATGTGGGGCTGTATATATAGCTTTAGCAAGCGATAGATGTTCTCAAAGATCACCTTTTGAATTCTGCATTTCAGTGAGACTGGAAATGAATCCTAGGCAAGCTTTGACCACTTTTTGATTGCTGTGGAATTGAGAGATGGACTGATTGTTTGGGCTGATACACCATTGGACGAGGCCTAGACTATGCTTCAGCCAGAGAAACACATAACAAGAATGTGCTGTTGAGGCCTGTACAGAGAAAATAACAAAAAACGAAGATGATTCAGCAAATGAAAAACATTGTTGCATACAATAATGTTAAAGAGACCTAGACCTCTTGCTCTCAGCACATCCCTATTCTTAGCGAGAGTACGTTGTTATATTCAAAGGAAGATAAGGTAATTTTAATTTGTGGCTAAATGTAATTTAGGTAGAGTTAAATTGCAAACCAGTACGTGATCTCTGGGGTGGCCGCAGGGGCCTTTTGCTTATCTTGTAACTAATGTTGCATCACATGCTGGCATTTTGAGCTGATCTTTGCGGATCTGTTGTTAACATGAATCTTTGCAGATTCTGGCTCCCAGCCCTTCCCTCCCCCCCTTTTTGGTAAGTATGGGGTCAGGTGAGTATGTTCCACCAATTGTCTCTTCAGTGCTACAGTGCCAGTTGGCGGATGCATGCAGGGGTGGTTCTCACTCGCCGAGTTGCCATGAACACCTCCTTAACATGCCTGAGGTGCTCAGGCTCCCGTCCAACCTTTAAGGCACAAGTTCTCAAGCACATCTAGTGGTGATGAGTTAAATTGGTTTGAAATATCTGTACAGTAATACAGTGAAACCTCTACTAATGGTCACCATTGCACATCCCTTAAAATAAGAGAACTACAGGGGGTATAAACCAATCTCCCTATCAAAACAGTGGCGGACCTAAGGGAGAGGGTCCGGGAGGTCCAGAGCCCCCTATCAGACCTGACACTTGTTTAAGGCTGAAATTCTTACATCAACAGGATCATATATCACTTTTTAACAGGCTGATTTTTTTTCATGAAAGAGAGCCAGGGAATACGTGCAACCGTGACTAGTGGGAGGGAGTGTGGGGGAGAAGGACAGTAATTTGCCCCCAAAAAAGTTCAACAGTCTTTTTGTGAATCAAAGTTTGGACCCTACCTGCCTCCCCCCAATAAAAAATTACTGGGTCTACCCCTGCACAACACCTCCATCCTGAAGGAGCCGGGCTGTTGTGGAGAGTTACTGCTAAATACTCTTAGATGCTGAGTTCATCTTTTAGGTAATATAAGCAGGGAGATAACAAAGCTTGTAGAATCATCACCTGATTAATGAGACTTTGTGCTGCAGCAAGTGCTTGACAAACAACTTGTGTGACGGAACAACATTCTTTAATTTTGGGGGACAATATACATTGAAGGTGTTCCTGCTCACAAAAAAAAACATAGAAAAATAACTTAAATAAAAATAAAATATATAAAAAATAAACATTCACTGGATATCAACACCAGTATGCAAAGAAAGTCGTGTCCCGGATAGCCAAGGGCTGGTGGATTTTACTATTTGGCTAGTGATTTTTGTTCTTAACTTGCCCAACGGGCAAGTGCTGTTTTTTGGGGAAATTCAAAACACAGAAGGATTGTAATCAATCCTGCTAATCAAAAAGGGTTTTGGGGCTAGTTGAAATGACTTGTGGGCTAGTACATGCTAGCTACAGCTTGCCCGAATGGCAGGCTGTAAAACAGACTTTCTTTGCACCCTGAACAAAGCAGCAACAAAAAATAATGTGACCTTCTCCAGGACTTTGTACACTTATGATTTTCCATTGAAAGCTAAGAACCAACTCCAACAATTGGAAAACAATGGGACAAGCACTTTGAATGGTTTAGCTAATGACCTGAGTGGGTAAAAATTTCTAACCACTCTTAACTTACACAAAGGAGTTTATTATGGTGATGAAGCTTTAATAGAATGCAAAAAATACCTTGGCAATCAATTTTTTTTGTTTGTCATCTGCTATTAGGCCATCAATAACTATTGATCCTGTAGTTAGAGCTCCACCGTCATCACTGACACTATGTTCACCATTTTGCAATTCTCCATTGTCCTGACAAAGCAGACTTAATGACAACTCAAATGGCAACTTAACAGTATCAAAAAGAGCTTCCAACCAGTTGTGAGTAAAATTTCTAGATAAAGAGAACCAGACATAAAAATTCTGAATTTATTTTTCACAATGAAATGTAATAAAATATTCAAATATAATAAAATTAATGGGTTAATTGAAGTTAATTTTAAAAGCTGCATGGATATGCAGGGTCTGAATTAACAGGGTATCTGTATTAAGCAGGTCGTGTTATTCTTAAAAGTCAAAAACATGCAAAATACACTTTTCTTTGAAAAAAAATGATGGGGAGATAAAACAGGACATGAGCAGAGCATTGTCAAACTATACATCCCCAACTTGCACAAACGCAAAGCTGTTAATTCCATCAAATGTGTCCATAGAAACACTTACAGGTTGCACATAATTTATACATTACTACTTAATCAAAGACAACAGTCTGCATAACTCATTTCTTTGCAAAAATTAACTCATTTGTTTGGCTTAAATTTTTATCTTTGATTAGCACTCACTGGCCTTTCAGGCACTAGATCCTGAGAATTTACTTGACTTGTGGATCATAGCATTTGTGAAAATCTCCAGTGCATTCATCCCCATGCATGCATGGACCCTTCCATAAAACCATAAAAGTAATTCTTTGAATAGGAAGGATTTATGGATTTTTGTTGATACCACGACTGGAGCTGAACTTAATAAACAGAAACTGCCATAAATTGTAAGATTCATACCTGGAACTTCCTTGACACAAGGCTAGCCCAGATACCAACTCAAGTCCACTAACAATAAGGCCCTTTTTAAAAAGATCAACACATGACCCAAGAAGAACACTTGAGGTACTTGACTCTTCTGTTGAGAATAAACTATCCCAGTTCAATTCCCACGATCTGAGTAAAAAGAAAATTATGTTGCTTCACCTAAATCATCGCAACCAAACACTGCAATTTATTGACAGAAAAGTGGTTACCTCGTATTTTTTGCAAATTCACACAACATGTCAACCAGTTTTTCACAGACTGTTGCACTGCCAGCTTTAATCAAATCCAAGCAATGAGGAAACAGCTTGCTTTCTTGTAAAACTTTCTGCCCACGGAACGAATCCTCCAACACCAACATTCTCATAACTTCAAAAACTGCGACAGGTGCAGGGCTAGATGCTGTGCATTCTGAATTTAACATTGATCTCAACCTGTCAATGACATGCCTAGGGTCATTAGCTTCCACAGTATTGTTTGACATCAATTCTTCTGAGTCGCTGGAAAGAATCCAGTTACTCTCTCTGATGAGATACTTTGCAATCAAACTCTGGGCTGATTTGGCCACAAACATGCTTCTGTCGGTGATACAGTCTAAGGCAAAATCAATGTGACCTGCATAAAAAAAAAGAGGGACACTGAAATCAATTGAGCCACCTTAACAGTTTATTTGAATGTTACATGTACTGTACTTTTCACAAAGATGCGAATTCTGAAGTTCAAAAGCCAACTGACGTTTTGTGTGTTTCTGTGTTTCAACGTTCGTTGCTGCTGATTGCAATTATGATTGACTGCAGCGAAAAACACAAATGTGAAGGCAGCTTTTGAACTTTAGAGTTCGCATGTTTGTGAAAAGCGCAGTAATGTATTTTAATGTTCCTCACTGGAGACAGGACCACCCTTCTAGGTGGTTATCAGAGCTTTACAAAGGTCCAGCCATTTTCAGGGAAAAGGCAATTTATTTACCACTTCTAGAAGAAAACTGGACAGAGTTAACTTTCAAAAAGAATCCTGGGATTGTAACTTGGGATGCGACATTCAGCTATTGGCCAAATTTTTTCCTGTCCCATTTTAACAGTCCCGGGAATCTTTGCGAATGTTAACTTGGCACAGTTTTTTTCTCATTTCTTAGCAGCAAATGCCATTACTGAAATCCTCTATTATATTAAGCCCCCCTCTAAAATAAGCCCCCCCCCCCCGAGTGTGTACCATGTACATATTGGGTGGCACATAAGGGTAGCCCTTCCCCCTCGCCCCACCTCTACTGCTTGCTCTAGCTGATTTAAAAAATTTCATGATTGATTATAATCGGACCAATCATTGAAGCTGGATGTACAAGCGGTTCTCTACGACTACCTCCGATTCTCAGCCATGCCACACCATCTTCGTGCTCTGTGAGAGAAAGCAATGCTTGAAAATATCCATGCCTGACTATCCCTTCATTCCAAAGACCCGGTTCACTTTTAGGCTTGTCTAGAAATCTGGATAAAAAGTCTCCATCTTGGGCACAACTGAAAGATCTGAATAACTCAGCCTTTGCGACAAGAAAACCAAAAAGTCTCAGGAAGAATCCGCCGGATTCAGGATTAGAGAAAACTTGCTCCCTTGATATGAACTCGACTGTTCCACATTGCAGTAACTTTTGCAGTTCTCGATCTGTTTCGCAAACATTCTTTAGCCACTCAAGAATTCTTTCTAAGCTTGTGTCATCTACGATTCTGTCGGCATTTTCCACAAGCAAGTTGAACAGAAGAGGGAGAACTTCCGACCAAGACTTTCTCTCCGTACCGCTCATTTTTGCTTTGCACGCGTTGAAATGCCAACTAGCACTGTGTAGAGTGGGGTAATAATGCAAACGCCTTTTCAGACAGGTCCTGACAAAACTGGAGAAGTCCGCCCTGAAGAGTGATTTTTCTGTTTAAAAAAAATCAAGAGCGAAAGTAAAATATATTATGACATATTTTGTTAGTAAGTTCAATTTAGGCTCTAAAAAGATGAAAAATAGTCCATAGTATGAGAACTTTCTCTAGATCCAGGTTTCCCCCCCCCCACCCGGTTGAATTACGACAAATTCATCCTTAGCCTACCTGTGGGCAAATTCTGGCTGTCAACACGTACGTAGGACTGCGAGCTGCAAAATGGCGGAAGGTGTGTTGCCTTTCGTTCGTGGTCTGGATTTAACCAGAAATGACTTCAAGGTAGCGTTTTCCTGCTGTTTTAACTTCTCCATGGAGAACTCTAATCTCTAAGCCAGGGTTCTTATTTCATTTGCAGAAGCTGGATTTTCCGAAACGAGTGGCAGACATGCCAAATTTGCGATGGCTGAAGTTGAACAAGACTGGACTAGACGCTCTGCCCGATGAACTCTCTCATCTTATGAAACTGGTGAGGAAAAGGGATTCAGAAGTTTCCTAAGTATATTTTCTCTTTGTATTATCTTTTTAGCCATTTGAAAGCATTTTCCCCAAAGCTCTTGTTATGGCTAAAAGTCACACGCTACCTCTGAAAGTCAGCAATCAGCTGTCTTAATACAATTGGCCTGGGGTGGATTATTGACCCTTCTGGGTATAAATAAGTACTTGAGCGCTTATTTGAGAAAATATGATAAGCCTTAAATGCTAGTTCTTTGTGATATTTTGCTTAAGAAATAAGCTTATCTCTTTTAGACAATATATCAAAGTTGGCAAATTGGGCTGTGCAGAAAGTTACCGTGAAAAAGAAATCATTTTGCTAAGTTTATTGTCTATACTGGCCACCTTCAGTGGGGCCAGGGCTTGAACTGCTGACGTCCAGTGCAAATGGTCCTACATATATGAAGTTGTAACCACTAATCCACTGCACTCCATAGTTTCCATGCTTATTAATTAGCAGTGTTTGCTACGAAAGAGTCAAATAGTTTTACACTTGCTTTAAACAGCCTTCCCAAAGTTGTACAATAGGCCTAGTGGAGCAATAAAGTAATCAAAACAAAAAACAACTTTTTAGAAGATTGTTTTAAGCTGTTCAATTTCAGTCTTGACCAGTCTAAAAATCTACTATGGGAACACTGTCAACATCATCGTCATCATCAGGCTTCTGTGATTTTTTGGGAAAAAGTGAAGAACAGCGATCCCCCAAAAAACTATCAGCCAACTGTTGGCCAACAGTCCGCCCACTGTTGACCATGTTATTTTCATGTTACTCTTTGATCATGGTTTGCTCGCATTGAGGTAACGATGCAAGTGCGGGACTGGTTTAGCGAGATAGAAATGTCATGGACGGTCTTATCTGGGAATGCTGATTAAGAAGTCCATAGAAAACGTTGGTCTATGAGTAAAGGATCGTTCTTCGAAGACTCTAAAATTTCTCTTGGACAGTGGCTAAACATCATTTACAGCGTATATCTTCTTTTTTTCAGTGTTGGTTAACTGTCTGTCAATTGTTGGTATGCTGTTGGCTGACAGTTGGCCAACAGACTTTTAGGGGAGCTTTTCTTCACTTTTAGCTATTTTTTTTCCTATGCAGGAAAACAAATAGCTGCAACTATAGTTTATAGCCAATAGGAAGTGGAGTTATATAAACTGAAAAAAATATGTTGCATGATAATGCATCAGACTGTTTGTTACTTGCAAGGTTCCATGTATGAATCAGAGTTGATCTTTTGCCATTCTATTATATAAGCTCAGTCAAACAGAATAGCAAGTGGACTTTAATATAAATCGATCCTAATAGCGCTTTGCACTATTACTAAAACAAGACTCGCATGGTGGAGGTTCATTGGGCTGCCAATTGTGGAAAGTATCACTCTTTTCCAGCTTGAGTGGAAAGCTACTCCTAACCTGTGGTATGCAAATTAAGTTTCGGTTTTATTTCTGTCAGAATTTCATTAAAAGGCCTTCTAACTATCCAAGTCAACTTTTCTTTAATGGGCAATCTACAAGTAGCATCCTTTCATGTCAGGAAAGACTTTTCACCCGCAGGGAGAGAATTGCATCAAGTTGAAGCTTTTCCAAGGGGACCGTATGAGGGCATTTTTTAGCTCCTGCACAAGCTAACTTTAGTAGCAAGATCATCGACTACTTTAACTAGATAATCATTTGGTGTAGATATAAGGTCAATAATAACTCAACACAATTATTTTATCAATTCGTATGTTGAAGTTTACATTTACATTTGCTGAACTTAAAGTTCAACATTTGAAATGGGCGTGAGTACCAGCCCTGGTTTTTTTTTTTTGTTTAGTGCTATGGGTAGTTATAAATAATTGAAAAAATAAGGAAGATTATGAGCCATTCATAAACAGAGAAATACTTTCAATGGATATAATAAATAGCCTCACTATCTTTGTAATTTCTTTTAACAGGAGCATTTGTCTTTGAAGGAAAACAGTTTAGCAAGTATCCATGGTGATCTGTCCACTCTCTCTCATTTAAGGGTAAACAATGATGTTTTTACTTTTTACCCTGATCGATCCGTAGACTGAACAGGAAAGACAAAGACAAATATTGCGATATATGTTTTGTTACTCATAATTAATTTGATCTGTTAAGTTCTAGATTGATGTAGCACTAATGGTAAAACAGGGAATAATTTTAGTGTTTATGAAAGTGCTTAATGTTCATGAAAAATTTCAATACATTTTAAACTCATCACAAATAGATGAGCTTGGGAACTGGTGCCTTAAAGGTTAGCGGGGTACCAGATGCTATAGTCGCAGGGAGGTATCCATGGCAACCCTGGAATGCACTGAAAATCAGTGAAAATAACTTACCTGAAAAGATACTTATCCTGGCCACCAAATGCAAAAGAGGGAGAGGGGAGAGGGTGCTAGAATTTGCAATGATTCGCAATAGCTAAGTTTTTGATCAGCAAAGGTCAGCTGATAACATTGCACGTTTAAAGTAATGAACCTCGAAACCATGTAAAACCACTGAAGGCCACCCGAAAGGTCACGTGCTGCAAATGAGACCGCTGGACTGCATTTGCTCAAATTTAACTTTGCCTAAGTGATATTTAGCCACATCCAAGCTAAGACCTTCATCTGTGGAATACTGATGGAAACGCAGCAATGTTCCTGTTGTCTGTTATCTTTGTTTCCTTTTCAACTAAGCTGATCAAATAATAATTATTTTATCAATACAACAAGTTTGACTTCTTTTAAGTCATTTTGTTGTTTTGCTGCTTGTGTCAATAGATTTCTTTAAATAAATTAGTACCTCTTAATTTGTTTACCTTGTGGTTAAATCATTGCTTTACCACGTCACTGATATTTAGTAAAAGGTGTACATTAAAATACATATAGAATTTTGTTTTTGACAGCATAATTTAATTATGTTGACGAAAATGTGGACTTTCTTTTTTGTTTGTAAGGTAATAAATGCTCGTCAAAACCAGCTCAAGAATTCTGGAATTCCTGGGGATATTTTTGGTTTAGAAGATCTCTTAACAATAGTAGGTTGCCATTGTTAATCATTTCTGGAACACTTTACATGTGCTTAATTAATAATATCACACTGGGTCAATTACTGGTCCAACCAAACGATTCCATTGAGAAGTCCAGGATAGTGGGATAGTCTGCCACATCGGGCACTAGGAGTACAGTCGACTCTCTCTTAATGGACACCTCTATAAGACAGACACCTCTGTAAAACGGACGCTTAGAGTTGGTCCCTGCCTTTCTTTACTCCCTTTATTTGACTCTCTATAAGACGGACACCTCTCTAAGACGGACACTTAGTGCCCGTCCCAAAGGTGTCCGTCTTAGAGAGAGTTGGCTGTATCAGTAAGGCTATGTTGTCGAGACAGCCAGAAGATCACTACAAGCTCACTAGTTTCACTGGCCCTCAAACTAGCCTTTTGGTCCTTTAAGTAGTTCTGCAGTGCATGTTATCAGTGTTGAGAAAATTTTTATCATCATTATTTTTCCCCATTTTTTCAGGATTTCAGTCATAATCAGCTCAAAGAGGTAAGAGTTCTTCTCAGTGGTAAAGGTTACTTTTATGGCTGGGAAACAATAGTTACTCTTACCCACAAACTTAAAATGTAATGATTGTTTAGGACTAAAATACCAGTAACTATTATGAAGAAGGATCCTCTGCCTTAACTCATCTTTTACCAAAACAGGATGTATTTTTTACCTTTTCTATTTATTCCAATCTCTTTAGGCCCTCCTTTCATTCCCCCTTTTGTACATCTCCAGCTGAAGATGACACTGTTGTTTTTCTTTTATTTACTTTCCATTCAAAGAAATCATGTCTTTCATATGCCTTTCAGTTATACTCCGGTCATTATGTTGTACCATCATGTAAGTTTCCATGTTTTATGTCTTTTCCCTTTTTAGGTACCTCCAGAGCTGGAGAATGCCAAAGCACTCATTGTTTTGTCACTTAGTCATAACAAGTGAGTCATGATAAACTTTATCTTCATAAAATACGGCTTTGGTAAAGTGTTTTGTTGCTGTAATTCTACTTGTACATGTATCTATGATTGAGGAGGTAGCTGGTCGGTGAGCACTCCAGTTCACCCCAATCGGAGTTTTGTTTGTTTGTTGTTGTTCCCAATGTTGGGCCATGCTTTAAATACATGCATGTAATCCAAATGGTTTTCCATCCTTATCAATATGATTTACAACCTTGTTATACTATTATTAGACAGAATGTAAGTCAAATAATTTTTGCTTTAGTGCTTAGCCCCACCCACCTTTGCCATCGTACATGTTAAAGTGCATTCCTTGTTAAAAAAAAGGTCCTTTCTCTTTCAGAATTTCTGTTATTTCAAATCAGTTATTTATTAACCTGACAGACCTAATCTACTTGGACCTTGGCAACAATCTCATTGGTTAGTGTAAAGTGGAGGGTTATGTAATATATATGTTGTACTTAATTTTTTATCCCAGGTAATTTTTCTTTTTCTGTTTTTCATTACCATACCCAAAAACAAAAGAAAAAGAAAAATTACCTGAGATAAAAAATTAACTACAACATATTCTTGTAGACGTAGGCGTATAGTTACTATTTGTTTAGCTCTTTTTAAATTAAGGTTTCACTGATTGTTTGTAGAATATTGTATTTTTTGTATCCACATGTAGGAGAGGGGCCTAACACTTGCAGGGGATTTACTGATCATTAGCACAAGTTAATGAGGGTGGGAAAAGGAGAACATTACGGCTTCTTCCTTTTTTTTTGTTTTCCTTGCTTTTTTGTGGTCATTCTAATGTTTAATGTTTTAGGCATAATAATGCATGGTTATGAATGATAAATTTGCCTTCATTTCCAGCCCTTTGTTTCCTGGTCTAAGGAAATAATCAAAACACAACATTTTATGATCCCTTGCAGAATCCATTCCTCCACAACTAAGAAGACTGGTTAACTTACAGACCTTGGTATGTTGTGCTAAGCTCTTTGTCAAGCAGCTATGAAAAGCCCTGATGATGTTAATTTTTTAAAGGTTGCAAGTTATAGTTTGCTTGATGGGTAAATCAGTCTCAAACTTTAAGATGATGAAGTTACATGTAGATGCAACATGTGCTACTAGCTTTGTAAACTAGGCAATAGTCACAGACAAATTGAAATGTAATGCAAAAGGCTTTAGTTTACAGCAGACATATTTGTTTTAGCTTTCTCTCGTCATCATTAAGCCACAAGAGAAGACAGTTATTGGCATAAGAATAATACAAGTGTCTTTTTTACATCTTAATTTGTATATTTTTTTGTAGATTCTTAACAATAATCCACTACTTCATGCTCAGCTAAGGTCAGTTGAAATATTTTGTTGTATTTGATCAAAACCCTTTTTTATTGTTGATAAGTTAATGAAGGCAGATAACATTCAGTTTGGCTTACTTTAAGAGAATTTCAATCAAACTCCAAACCACTGTACTTTGCACCAGACAATCTAATGAACCTGAGGACAGCCTAAAACAGAATATAGTTGATGAGATTCCTCGGAACAAACTGGCAAATAAGTCGGGGTTTTTTTACAGTTGAACCTCTCTACAATGGCCACCTTGGGGACAGAAGAAAGTGGCCATTGTAGAGAGGTTGAACAAGCGTGAATGCATGCACTGTCCACCCCAAAAAATGGCTGTTGTTGAGAGTAAGAAGTCGTGGAGAGGTGGCTGTTTGTGGAGCTTTGACTGTATTTATTTACGTTAAGAATGTTCTTTGCTTCATTTACCACAGGCAGCTTCCATCTTTGACCCAGCTCCACACCCTTCACTTGAGAAACACACAGGTAAAAACATTGTGATACATATTAATATTAAATAACATTTTCTTGTCTGTCTTTGTACAATGTAAACTTGAACTATACAGGGTTTAGTGATTCAAAGAATTTTTTTTTCTGTCCTTTTCAGAGAACAGTTACAAATATGCCAGGCAAACTGGAAAGCCTTGTCAACCTTACAGGTAACTAGAAAACTGCTATCAAAACATGGCATAACTGTTACCTACATGTAGTATTGGTTGTATATAGCAGTTTCTGCTTGAGGATCTCAAAGCCACTTTTATCATGAGGCAGGAATACCTGTAGTTCGCTCTCAAAACATGATGCTAACAAACACTGTTAAAAATTGTTCTGAATCAGCACATTGTTTGTGTTACTGGTATTTGGTACAATTTCTTAACACTCATTTTTTCTGTGTTTTTCAATAACAGACCTGGATTTGTCTTTTAATGATCTTCCAAGAGGTAAGAACTTGTAACATTCTGTTCAAAGACTTAAAAGTTTAAAGGAGCTGTGTCACGAAATTCAGCCAAATTAGGAAGTTACAAAATGCTCGTTAAATTAAGAGAAGCATAGAAATAACCGCTTAAAATTTTAAAGGAAGGTTAAAATAACATAACAGAAACAACAGATGTCACGGATGGGCAAAACTGAAGAAGATTGAAACAGATTGAAATTAGGATTTTTGAAAACTGTTCAGCCTAACAGTTTTTCAAAGTTGATCCCTGCTGCTTGCAACTTCAAAAATAATGCTCACTAGACATATTTGTTTGTCTCAGATCTCTGATTTTGACATTTACATGTAATTTCTTTTCTTACTTTAAGTTCCATAGCGATTGAGGGCGAGTAATTGGCAAAATTAAACAAAATGAACTGGACTGCCGTGACACAGCCCCTTTAAACTGCCTTGTTTATCACAGTGCATGCATTTCTTCAACTTGGAAATGCATGTACTTTTGATGGCCATGAAAGAGATGTGGCCCCGTCAACTGTATGGTTTTTTTGAGGCCAAAACTTGGATCTTAAGTAGCTGGTATGAGAAGCTGGCTTGCGGGCCAGTTTTTCTTTTACAAGACCTCAATGAAAACAGCCACTTTCATTTCATTTTTTTTGTCAGCATTCCTTTGAAGAAATTCATCGAGCAAAAATAATAAAATGTTAATACATAAATTTATTAGAGCCAGTAAAAAATATGGCTAATGGCTACTGACACTGTCATTATCGGTAAAAATGATCTTGACCTAAGGTGCTCTCTCCTTTTGCGCATTGGTTATGGTGTCATTCACCCCTGCAAGGTCCATGGGAATGGCAAATGTGTTTCCCAAAATCGACCAAAATCTGTTTTATGAGACAATGATTGTTCATGTATACAACCCAAATTCAGTCTGCATATTAGGAGTGTATTCTGCTATGTTGAAGAAAATAACCATGGTTTGCTTTTTGGTTGCTTTCCTTCCCTGATTTAGTTCCAGAACCAGTGTACATGATAGCCAGTCTCAAGAGAGTTAACCTGTCACACAACCAAATAACTGAAGTGTCTACTCTTATAGGTTAGTTCAACAGTTTAACTGTGTAACAAGAAAAAAATAATACTCAATGAAATGTCATTTAGTAAAGATCTAATAATCAAGTCTTGAAAATACTCCCGTCTGGTAGTCTGGGAAAAGTAAATTTTCTTGGCCAAGTAACTTTCTAAAACTTTCTTGCCGAATTGGCAAGGGTCCCAGGGCAAGCAAGATGCTGCTTGTCCAAATTAAGGACAAGCTAGAGTTCAAGTTGTTTTTTAAGCCCTGAATAATACTAATTTAGTAACTGAAAAATTTAGTTAAAAAATGATCTCAGAGACAGTGGATTGAAGCATTGTTGCCAGGTGTGAAAAATAGAAGAGTAAGCAAAATTAAAATTTCATAGAGGGCATTATTGGAGTTGTATGAAGATGTGAAAAAAACAGGCACAGGAAACCCAAAGTTATTAATCTATGGAAAAATGATTAAGTTGCTGCAAACATTTTTTTCAGACACCTGGACCCAATTGGAGACATTAAACTTATCAAGAAATCAACTTACAGGACTTCCAGTGAGTGAATATTATTATCCTACTTTTCTTGATATTTTTGCGGTAAAAATAGCCAACTTGAACAATGTTTTAAAGTCAATGTGATTTACATTTATATACCTTAACTGTGGAGTGAGAAGCATGAGATTTGGTCAGCTATTAAATAGTAAGAGGTTAATGGTTTCATACTGCATAACCATTCATAATATTAACTAGTGCTACTACTATTTTGAATGTCAAAAACATTTTGTTTGTTTTAGGCAGCCCTTTGTAAGCTGGTAGCCCTTAAAAGACTGTTTATAAATGGTAGGTTTATTACCCTTTAAAAGTATAGTTAACTGTTACTTAAAAATCTGTTACAATGTATTTAAAATTCATATATTTTTGTATTTTAAAAGACACTTTTGTAAGTCACTACACATGAATCTGTAGTGAAGCTGGTTCCTCATTAAAGATTGTTATCATTTAAAATGAATTGTTTCGATATTACAGGTATTTGCTTGGCCCATTTTTTACCATTTTTGCTCAGAAACACACCTGTTACTAGTGGTTTTTATAATTTTGTTTCAGGAAACAATATCAACTTCGAAGGACTGCCAACTGGAATTGGAAAATTATACAATCTAGTGAGTTGTCAGTTGTGAAAGGTTCTGTGAAATTCACAAATTGTTAATTTTTTATTTTTCCCCCTGGAGCTACTGTACTCTACCTAGACCCCGCTTAAACAATAAAAATACTGAGTCAAATAATAATAAAGTTCCAGAAATCAATTGTGTCCAGACAGTTTGTTAATGTACCTATAACTCTTCTGAAAGTGATTGTGTAATTTCTTGTAGGAAATTTTTATGGCAGCATGCAATAAACTGGAATGCATCCCAGAAGGATTATGCAGGTATGTTAAACAGTGGAGAGGAAAGCTTGATAACTGATGCGGTTTAAACTACCAGTATTGTTTTAAGATTTTATGAACAACCAGGTTACATGTTCTACTAATCTGACTCAAGTTTTAGCCAAACAACTTTACAACTTATTATAGTTTGGCATTAGACTGAAAAATATCCTGAAAGTTATGCGTGCAAGCGAAAATCATTGCTGTCCAGTTTTGACAGTTCATTATGGGAATTGGGTGTCTGTAATTTCAGTTGATTCTCCCCGTTATGGCCACCGTTTAATATGGACACCTCTCTGTGACAAGCAGTAAAGGTGGTTCTGGATTTAGAGATACCGAACTTCATAAAATCCCTTCCTTTACAATAGACTCATCTGTGATTCTGACAGTTGACTCTATTGCTTCCATTTTCTTATTATGGTGTTTTCACTCTAGTGTGTGTTCAAAGCAACTAAGGGATCAATTCAACTTCAGGTGGCCATCTTATAAAGGTGTCCAAATGAGAGAGGGCTGATCGCAAAAAAAGTATTAGATTTAAACCTGTCTTGCATGCCACTCAACAGGTGTCTGAAGCTGCGCAAACTTACTCTTCACACAAACTGTTTGTTCACTCTCCCAGAAGGAATTCACTTTTTGACAAACTTAGAGGTAAGAGCAGTGATTATGTTCTAAATTGCCTGGTTGAGTCCTTATCTTGTGAAAAATCAGAAGTCCCAGTCGTGAATCATTGAGTCCCAATCCTAAAACCAATGAGTCCTATGCAAAAGATTCTTGAGCCTACATGTGTCCTACCTAGCCATTAATCTGAAGTCAGTTTTGGCTTGGTGTGAACACCTGTAACTCTCCTAAAACAAACAAGTCATCACAACATAGTAAATGAAAAATAGTGGAGGATGAAAACTGGATAACTTGGAACAGAACCAACAACAAGATCATCACACATGAGAACTTGAGGGCTTTGAATTGAACCCATACCAACGACCTCGCCATTTCTGCTTCCCTATAGAAGCCTAGTGAACAGAGTTCTTACTTTTATCTCCACTCATCTTTTCACACGCTTGTAAACCTGCCCAGTGGTGGAAGGAAATCAAACAGCTAAGTGGTTTTTCTAAGGTCGAGCGCGCGAGCCCCATCGCAGACCTTCAACACCTTGCGGATGAGGGGGAAGACGCTAGACATTTGGCCAATGTTATTAACGACGCTTTTTTGTCACCAATGACCGCTTTCACCCCTCTAGTCACGCCTGATGCACACGCGCGTGTGCGCGCGTATACATGCCAACAAGATCTTCCCCGTCCGATATCTGAGTTTTCAGTCTTTGAGAAACTATCGGCGCTTAATACGAACAAAGCATCCGGACCTGATGGAATCCCTTCTTGGGTATTAAAAGAAAACGCGGACTTATTGGCTGCACCAGTGGCAGACATCTTGAATTCTTCCTATTTGGAGCGTCGCCTTCCAACTTCGTGGAAGAAAGCGGACATTACACCCCTCCCGAAGACTTCACTTGTTAGCGATGTGAACAAACACCTGAGACCCATTTCGTTGACTCCAATTCTCTCCAAAGTCGGGGAAGAGTTTGTCGTTGACGGCTACATCAAGCCTGCCGTCCTTGCGAAGATTGACCAGAACCAATATGGGACTGTTCCGAACTCCAGCACAGTGCATGCCCTGATCAGCATGCTCCACAACTGGTATAAGAATACTGACGGCAACGGTTCTACTGTGCGCGTGGTGCTCTTTGACTTTAGGAAAGCATTCGATCTCATCGACCACGCCATTCTTATGGCTAAACTTACTGATTATGAGCTACCACCTTGGGTGCTGGACTGGATTGCAGATTTTCTTACTGACAGGAAGCAACGAGTGAAACTCGCCCACGATTGCTACTCGGATTGGGGATCTGTCAGGGCAGGTGTCCCGCAGGGGACAAAATTGGGGCCCTGGCTCTTCCTGGTAATGATAAATGACATCAATGTCAATGGTGTCAACCTTTGGAAGTACGTCGATGACACATCGATGGCCGAGACAGTCCACAAGGGCCAACCAAGTGGAATCCAATTTGCTGTAGACGACCTAGTTAGGCAAGCCGAAATAGATAAGTTCCAGTTGAATGAGACCAAGTGTAAAGAGTTGCAGATAAGTTTCTCAAGGTCTGTAGATCCTTTCGAAACAGTTACTATTAACAACAAACCAATTGAGGTTGTAACTAGCGCAAAACTTCTTGGTCTCACAATTTCAAACAATCTAAAGTGGAACGCTCACATAGAGAATGTTATCAAAAAAGGAGCCTCTAGGCTATACCTATTAAGGCAGCTTAAGCGTGCAAAAGGAGATCCTGCGCAGCTACTTTGTTTCTATACTACGTGTATCCGGCCCATGTCTGAATATGCCTGCCAAGTTTTCCACAATGGTCTGCCTGAGTATCTCTCTGAAGAGCTAGAGAAAATTCAGCGCCGTGCACTTAGAATTATTTTCCCTGATTTAGGCTATCAAGAGGCTCTAAAAGAGTGCAATATTGCCACCCTCCACCAACGGCGCCAATGGCTGACAGAGCGCCTATTCAATGAGATTAAGGACAACAGCCTCCACAAATTACATGGCCTTTTGCCGCCACGTAATCTTAGTACTGTAGCCTTAAGGAGTAAGCGCGTTTTTAACGTGCCTCTTTGTAGAACAAATAGACTAATGAATAGTTTTATCATGCATAACGTGGCTATTTTCTAATGGTTTTATTGTAAATTCGCGGCTCTTTTCTTAAATTTCATGACGTTGTATTTTGTTCCTTTGTTTTATTTATTTACTGATATTTATTTATAATAGTTAGTCTTAGTATTCAACGTATTGTACAGTCTGTAATCCAGCCCTTGGGCTGCAATGGATTTTTAATAAAGCTATCTATCTATCTATCTATCTATCTATCTATCTATCTTCACATATAGGAACTTGATGTTCGTAATAATCCTGAGCTGGAAATGCCACCCAAGCCTGTCCCTGATGAGTTAGGGAGTGGCCCAGAATTCTACAATGTGGACTTCACACTGCAGACCCAGCTGAGGATGGCCACAGGTGCTCCTCCACCACCAGTCTGTAAGTCAATGACATTGGACATTCTGTTTGTTTGATTGTTTTTATTTTAACCCTTTCACTGCCAAACATGGCTAAAGGCAAATTTCAACCAAATTTCCAAATTTCATTCTCTAAAATTTTGAGAAATAAATAGCATCATGTGAAAGTACAGGCAGAGAGCTTTCATTTGAATGGTCACATCATAGGATTTCGTCCACAGACTCAAAAGTTAGAGTCACCCTACAAAACTCTATCAAACACTCTGGCGGTGAAAGGGTTAAAAATTATTTATAAAAAGGATTTACTAACCTGCATCACAGACAAATGATTACTTTTAACTTGGTTAGTTACATCTGTGAAGTGTTCTGGGCTGTTAATGGACTCAATGAATTGCCAGAAATGTGTTTTGTATTTCCTTTCAACCTGACTGACAAATTGACAATCTATGGCATTTTTAACAGACCAATCATGGCACATACTCAAATTCTGGTACACAGCTGGGGACCCAGAACAAGGATTCGGGCGCTGTTTCACAGAATGATGGAATTAACCAGAGTTTAGTTTCGTCTGTGGTACAAGCTAGAATTCGTCTTTCTATAGAACATAATTGAGTTTCTGTAATACAACAATGTACAGTGGAACCCCGTTAATACGGTCACCAGTGGGCCAAGAAAAATTGGCCGTATTATCGAGGGTTTTATTTATAAGAAAATGTATGGTGGTTTTTGCTAGGCCGCCAAAAAAGTGGCCGTAATAAGGAGCATAAGGTCTGGCATTTTTTTCTTTGGTTACTGTTTCCTTTAATAGACTAAAACTTTGCCCCACATTATGTTATTCTTGCATTAGGTTACAGTAGCAGCAGTATATATGTTCATTTAGAGAAGTGATAATCCTCCTAAGTTAGTAATAATATTATTATTCTTGTGCTCATACATTTTAGTGCTTATTAAGAGATCAGGGAGAGAATTTTGACCATTAGAAATCATGGCACTGTCACCTTCCTCCTCTTGCCCTGAGGTTCATTGTTTATTGAGCACATTCCATTGCTAATAGTTAGGAGTAAAGAACAAATCATGACATTTATCTATTTTTTCCTGCAGCTCACAAGGATTCTTATGCTAGAAAAGTGAGTCTGGTTAACTTCTTTATGCCTTTTTTGTAATTTCATTTTAAGTCATCCAGGTTTTGTTTAGCCATCACTAAAAATTAAAAATATGTTATAATTGTTTATGACAGTTGCGAATGAGAGGTCGTCGATATCATGGTCAATCAGAAGATTTAAAGGTACAGTAAACTTGTGCAGTTTTGTTACCTGTGTTAAAATCTGCTTTGAATTTATTTTTATTTTAATTAACAAAGCCTTGAAATAGTATGTACACTCTGTGTCATTGTATTAGACACCTCGTGCAAGTTACATGTAGATTGTCATCTGATGTATGTAATTTGTTGGAATTTTGTGGTTCAGAAATGACATGTGCTTAAATATATTGGAAATGGCCTCACAACTATAACATGTGCTATAATTGTAGCACACACAATTGTAACTTTTGACAGCATTTAATGGCCTCTCAAACTAGATTAGAGCGCTGTAAGAGATACACAATACTTTATATTAATAATTTAATTATGATCTTTTCAGGGTATGGTAGAAGATGCCGAGGAGAAGAAAGTGTCTGGACGAAACAAAAAACTCGGCAAAAGAGTAAGTCACCAGCGTAACATAATTTTTACTAACAGCCTCCTATTATTCAAGCCATGGTTCAGCATTCTAGTTTCCATAACAGAAAACATGCATGGGCAATGTTTGTATGGATTGATTTGTTGGAAGTGTAAATTGATTGGCAATGATGTATTATTGAGTTGTGGAATGAGGTACATTGGACCTAGTTTGTTGAGCAATCATGCGAAATCGCCCTGTGTGACTCTTGTGCTTCCGTCATGCCTTGCAACCTCCTGCATCCATTTATAACCCAGTAGGAATGTTTAGGGAATGAAAAGGATATGTGTAGAGTGCTTGCTTTGCACGTTGCCACTTCTGTGTTAAGTGTGCTTTCCCACTAATTTTGAATCAAATAAGAGACAGCTTACAGTGACTTAGCTATAATTATGTACTGGTAACTAAATTTCTCTGGTGAAATGAATTTACTAATTCATTGGGGCCTGATTAACTCGATATGTACATGTACTTAGTTATGATGCAATACATAAAGTTGAAACATTTCCGAATTTTTGAATCAGTGTAGATTCGTAGAATATTCTTTGTCTATTTATTTTCTTACACATTTTTTCATCTTTAGCAAAGTATAGATGAACCAGAGAAGCTTCTAAAGTAAGTTGAACTTTTTTGATAAAAAATAATTACAATTCTTAGCCCTTGGTTAAAAAAATCTGTTAAGTCAAAGGGTTTCAGAAATAATAACTGTTGCCCCTCCAGTAAGATTCCTGCCCCCTCCCAATCTACCATTGCTACTTGAGACAGCCATATTCATAATAATCTGCAGTTTGTACACTAACATTAGTAAGTTGTTATAGATTCTACAACACAGTCCTGTAACTTAACAAGTCTTGATTCTTTGTCATCATAGAGGAAGAAAATGGAACGAGTCACTGGTTAAACCCAATTTAGATTATCATGATTTCTTTAATGACACTACTGGACAAGAACCTGGTAAGTTAAATTTAATTAAATAAACTTCTGCTTTTTTCTAGCCTGTACCTACGTGTATTCTGAGTCATACATGTAAAGGATTGTTACTATTTTCAACGGTTGATACAATTATTGGTAACCAATAATAATTATTGTAGCTGTTGTGCAGATGGTGACTCAATATAATTTTATAATGTTTGTAAAATAATAACCACCTTTTTCCATTACAGGTTTGACTGTGTGGCAGATTGAAAACTTCCTACCAGTCTCTGTTGACGAAAGTAAGGCAATATTGCATATTGTTATTGTACTGGCAAGTAATAGAAATCGTTTTTGGAATAAACAGAAAATAAATGAATAATTTGCCTAATGAGTATGGATAAGTTTTGTTGTTCTTAGTATCGTTTAGATCCTGCCATTTGCTTGAAGTTGAAGCATTGTACTACAAGGATCTTCCATACCTTTCCCTTATATATACCATGGTATGGCTCTCATGGTCAGATACTTTTTGGCATAAAATCTGATATGAAAGAAATGTGAAATCACGAACAACAGGACAACTACAAGGCTTTTTCCCTTGTCATAATCACTGACTTCGAAAGAGGAGGTCATAACTTATTTACCCAACCCATGATCCGTGAAATGTGTGAAGTGGGTTTAATGTCACATCTCTTTCCAATAAACAAAAAAGGATGGACACAAGGCCAATTGCTTTAACAACATGTGTAAGTCTTAAGGATGACCAAAGCCAATTTTCTCCTGGTAGCAATATCAGTACATAATCAAGAGAAAATGTTGTGAGAATTTATTACATGATCACCTGATGGAAAAAGCTTTCATCTAGAAACAAATTCGCTCAACCATCAATTCTTTAAAGGAAATAATATTTGGAGATCAGTCTGGATAATTTGTACATAAAGGAATAATGTTACCGTGATATTAATTACTGGTAATTACAGGGAAAAAAAGCCTGGAACTGAATCTAATAGACCTTTTTACCGATACGGCGGCCTTATTGAATTAATTCGATTTAAGGAGTATTATAGGATGCCAGGGGCATGAGCACATTTCGTTTGTATTTTCGAGCGCTTTTCGGGCATTTTTTCTTAACGTTGTCTTAGAATAAGATTGTAATGGGAAAAAAGATCCTTGTGCAGTGTTTGGATGTAATAATGATTGCCTTTTTCTAGTGTAGTATTAGAAATGTCTTCTACTGTATACTTCTCGGGAAAAAGGCGATCCATTATTACATTCAAACACGGCGCCAGAATCTTTTTTCCCATTACAATCTTATTCTAAGAAAACGTTAAGAAAAAATTTCCCAAAAAGCACTCGAAAATACAAACAAAATGTGCTCATGCCCCCTGGGCATCCTATAATACTCCTTAAATCGAATTAATTCAATATGGCCGCTGTATCGGTAAAAAGGTCTATTGAAATGAAGAAAAAAATTTGACACAATCAGCACAATTTCACTACTGACTTTTTTAGTGGTGAAGCAGGTATTGAACTCAAGCCTCGCAATATGAAAACCTGCAGTTATCCTACAAATTAAGCCAACTGGGTGGCAGTCATCTTGTCAACACTTCTCTCTCTAGAGCCCACTCCATTCTTCACCTTAATGACTTTGATCTAGTTTTCTCATCTGCATCAGGAAAACAGCAAAGGAATGTTTTTTCCCCTTTCAGGTTAATAAAGGCAGAACAAATTATGTGGAATACTAATATAAAAAAGCCAACTGCTTTGATTCCTTCCACTTGGTTTCCGTTCTTAACATAGACTGTAGGAGGGCCGTGATGAAAGTTACTGGGTCAACAGTAATAGATGTTACAGTACCCTTGTCTTTTTTTAAATTTATCGTTATTTTCTTTTTTAGTGTTTTATGGAAAGTTTTATGAAGGAGATTGTTACATTGTTCTCAAGGTATGTACTGCTATTTCTTGACCATTGACAGTGATTCAAGATTAATCACTGTCTAATGATGTACATTTATCGCTATTATTGTTCGTTGTGGGCAGAAAAAGTATCATGCAGTCTGTGTTTTATTGTATTTTTCATCAGACAAGTTTTGATGATACAGACCAGCTTGATTGGCAGATATTCTACTGGATTGGAAAGGATGCTTCTGTAAGTCTTCTTTCCTTTTTGCGTGTGAAAATCACATGTATTATTAAAAGAATTTACACTCTGATTTATGAATAACCAAATGATTTAGACACCCAGTGTACCTGGTTCTGTGTTCTTTGAACCCTACTCTTCCTTTTTATTATTATTTTTTTTAATACATCTGGTAAAATCAAAATAGAATTTCTCCTTTTTTCTATCCTTCATATTTCTTACAGTACATGTATTTAGGAAGGAGATATCAAGGTAACTGGTTTTGGGTGATCATTGGGTCATTTTCTGATATACCATATCGCGACTTACAGGGTTTCCGGAGAGGATTACGTTTTTTATTGCTACCTTTTGGAGGGTTGTTACTTGCAAAACTTTGTTGTGTTTTTGTAGTGCTTGTAACATGTATTAATTAATTTTTTATTTGTTTTTTAGCTTGACAAGAAGGCTTGTTCAGCCATTCATGCTGTGAACCTCAGAAATTTCCTTGGTGCTGAGACAAGGACTCTGGTGAGTGCAACATTCTTTTTTGGTTGAAACATTACTTTAACTCGAAGAATCCAACAAATGTTTATGAAAAGGTTGTTATTGGTTACTGTTAAAGGGGTTGCATTTTTCCCCTTTTGATATAAATCCTGAATAGAAGGCACGGTCAATAATGGCAGTGCTGACTGCAAGAAAATAGGACAAATTTGAGATACTTTCCTTCTTGCGTATATATTCTTCATAAATACCTGCTACATAGGCTACCATTGATACTTCCAATAAGTGACAATTTTGTAACAATATTATATAATTATTAATTTTAATGATAGTAGGCTAACTTGGCAGTGTACAATGTAATGTATCACTTGTAAATTGTGATTTGATCCTCTTGTTTTATTTTCCAGCGTGAAGAACAAGAAGATGAATCAGAAGAATTCATAGAACTGTTTGAAAATGGCATCAGCTATGTCGAGGGTAGGAGTCAAATAAATGTAATCAAGTGCGCAGGTCAAATTTAAGAACACTCTTTTCATTCCCTCATTGTGAAGTGCATCAGATCTTTTCATTAAAAAATCTGTTGTCTGAACACTGGTCTGACTTTTAATTCCCTATGACAAAAAGTTTGAGTTCCAGCATGTCTTTTGGGCAAGCTGTTCTTCTTTTTTTCATTTACCTGGGCCACTGAGATGGTCTTAATGATTACTTTAAAAATAGTTTACACATTGAATTAAGGTATGTTACTACATATTATGTTAATTTTTGTGCTTATTTTTCGTTCGTTCTTATTTTTCTTTCTTTTTTTAAAGGTGGCACAGCAAGTGGATTTTACACCGTTGAAGACCCTGTAAGTACTGCCATTGTGTTCAAATTGAATTCAGAGATCAGTTACTGGTACATAAAGTCATTTCAATTAACGAACTCCTGTTTTCACTAGGTTTACCCAACAAGACTATTTAGGATTCTCAAGACATCTAAACTTCAGCTGGAACCTGTAAGTTGTGGCTTATCAGTTATAAAAAAATCACCATGATGACATACAATTTTATTCCCAAACTGGATAAAATGCAATGTCTCCTTTTTGACTTACTTTTAAAAATTCATCTTGTTGGCTAACCCTTTTGCATGGAATTGTAGCTGGCTGACTTTTTACGAAAGGCACAGATTTAATCTTCAAATAGTAGTAGGTAAACATCGAAATTGGCAGTGGATTTTTTCCCAAAATGTTCCTTTTTTGTGAGTGTAACTCCGTTAGGATCGGTCAAAATATCCAAAACGAGATATTTGTGAAAAGATCTGTCTTTGCTGACAATGTTACTTACCAACTTATGAGCTTAAACTGAAAGCTAAATGGATCCAGGAAGAAAAATATGCATCTTTCCATACGAAACGAAAACGACCAAAGGGTTAAAATACATACACATCTCCCTTGTTTGAAACCATGTTTTTTTTTTGCTCTTTAGGTGGATGTTAGCACTACGTCATTAGATCCAACATTTTCCTTTGTTTTGGATGCTGGGCTTAAAATCTACATCTGGTCTGGAGAGAGGGTAAGTACGACTTGTTAGCTACGTGTATGTTCTTTGGCTTGCCATTTATTTTCAGCCAAGAATTGCACTTTGTCCTCGTCATATTTTTTCTTCCCTGCCTGAACAGTACCATAATCTTTCTGATGACTTAGAGGGGTATAATTTATTATTATACCTCTTAAAGATTAAGTGTGAAAATTTTAGTATCCCCTCAAACAATACATGCCATAGTAAATTTTTATAATATTAATCTCATGTAACCAAAATGACTTTTAACTTTTACAATTTATTTCAGGCAAAAGGGACAACAAAAACAAAAGGAAGGTATGTAATGAGAAACGATGATCTCAGTCAGTGAAATAAAGTTAATGAATATTACACTGCCATACTCTGCATAATAGATGATAATTTTCATTTTTCATGAATAACTGGAAAACCCCGAAAGCTTAGTTACCTTTCGTCTATGCAACTGAACTATCTAAAAATGTATGATTATTTTCCCCTTAAATTTTAACCAACAAGCAGCAAGCTCCAAATTGTAGAGACTTGTTTTGGCTCACATGTGTGTTTCCTTAAAGGAGCTTCAACTTTATTTAGGCTGCATGCAAACGGACGCAACAACTCGCAACATTGTTGCGCAACAATGCTGGAGTTGTTGCGTGTATGTTGACAGTGGTGTGCAAACGGATGCAACAACTTCCAACATTGTTGGGACCTACAGTGCATCGTGGGAAGGATACAACCCAGAAGTCTTTGTAAACCGTGCGTAATGAGCCTGCGTGGCCCCAACAATGTTGGGAGAGCTGTGCAAACGGATCCAACATTGTTGCGCTACGCTTGTTGGGAGTTGTTTGCTGAAAAGTTTGACCGGTTTCAAACTTGGCGCAATAACACGCAACAACATGCAACAGGGTGTGCAAACGGACGCAACATGTAACAGCCAACAATGTTGGGAGTTGTTGGTCAACAATGTTGCTTCCTTTTGCACGCAGCCTTAAGTTTTTCGATCGTCATTGTTATTTTTGGTTTTTAATATAAACTACCGCGTGTTATTTTTTTCATTTTTAACGTAATGGAGGCAGCATGGTAGGGTTAACTTTTGGGCCCCAACTTGGGCCCCAAGTTCAAGTCCCAACAGACTACTGCTAGCTGGATTTGTTCTGGGTAGTGCCGAATTCAAATCCTCGGCCACGCTTGTAAAATAGCCAACTGGTTCGCCTCCTTCAGGTTGGGATTCTTAAAAATGCTGAAATTGTTTCATTATCCCTGAAAAGCCCCATAAGGGAAGAGGTAACTACTTATTCTTCAAACATCGATTTCAGAATTTTTTGTAATAATGATAGGGGATAATAGTAATTACGATTGTCTTATTTCTTGATTTTTACATACAGTCATTTATTTCATTGTAGATTGTTTGCTGAGAAGTTGAACAAGAATGATAGAAAAAACAAAGCGGAAATTATAATGTGCCAAACAGTGAGTACTTATAATTATATTTTTTATACGAGCCAGTCATTATTTCATTGTGGTTAGTGTCTGCATCTCATCTTCCTGACTTCTACTATTAAAATGGTACTATAAAAGCAACATGGTTTTTTTAAGGGTGATGAGCCAGGGGAGTTTTGGAGACTACTTGGTGGCCGGACTTCAACTCCTATCACTGTAAGTATTCAAGTTCAATGGTCATAAAATCACCAAGATGGAGTTAAGGACAATGAGCACTGCATCAGTTGTACCCATTTCCATTAAGAAAAGATAAGCTTATTATGAGTATTTAGAATTAGTTTCCCCTCTCTATTTTCCCAATAACAGAGTTTTATATGTGGGCAGGGCTGATGGTTGGTCTGCCACAGTTTGGCTTGCTGGTCATCTAGGAACTGGCTGCCTCTTATTAGAAAGTTGCAGATGTCGCTGGCTACGTCGTCCACTGCAGTCTACACTCAGCGAATACTGCCTGCATTATCTGGTTCCTAACTGATTAAATAAACGGGGATTAAAAGTTGGCTCTGTCAGGATATTCAGTGACGTAGTTCTTTGAATCCTAGCGTAGGAATGTTGACCAAATTTGCTTAATTCAGCATACTGCAGGATGCCAATTTATTAGAATGAACTCTCAGTTACTAATTCTTGTATTTAATGTTTTTAGGAAAAGCCAGAATACAAGGAAAACCCTCCTGCTCCAATTCTTTATCAAGTGGCTCTAGGACTCGGCTATTTGGAGCTGCCACAAGGTTCTTTGGCGGTTTTGTTTTGGTCATTTTATTTGTTTTCTAGTCAGTTGTTTATTGATTTAATTTTTATGTTCTTTACAGTGGATACCCCTGGTGAAAAGTTGACGACGAAGATGCTGGAAACCAAAAATGTTTATATCTTAGATTGTCATTCAGAGATCTTTGTTTGGTACGTGAAAATCTTGTCAAAAAACCTGTCCCTTGGTTTTTCTTCTTTTTTTTTTTTTTCATGCTTATTTGATCCCTCAGCATTTTCGTGAAATCTTCTTCTGCAGTATTGAATAACTAGAGAAGAGATGCGAAAAATTAAAGATTTGCTCTGTTTTCTTCGTAAAAAAAAACGTTTTTTAAGTATGCTTAACCTTCACCACCTGATGCTTCATGGCGGTATAATTATTCATTTAATACGAAAGGAAACATAGGTTTCGAATTTTGGATAGCTTTGGCTCGTTGGTGACCAGAAGACAGCAAACTTATAGCATTTGTTGGCGACATCTTTTGGAAGAAGTGGGTTAACCAGAAATATGACAGGGCAAGTGGCAAGTGTAACGTCTAATCAATTGCTTAAAAAAGCCACAGTGTGTCTAGACCAAGAATCTGGTAGAAAAAAAAGACAAATTAAAAAAGTAGGTGGTTATCTGATAACGCCCTTGCAATAACAAATTGTACTGATAACTACAGTACTGACCAGCTGTTAAATTCTTCAATTCACAGGATTGGGCGGAAGTCAGCTCGTTTGGTGCGTGCCGCAGCAATGAAGCTCTCTCAAGAGCTCTATACTATGATTGACCGCCCATCATTCGCATTACAGATACGCAATCTTCAGGGGTAGGTAGCGTAGTAGGCTCCTTCCCCACCCCACCCCACCCCACCCCACCCCTTCCATCCCAAAGAAGCCCTTACGGGCAGTACACACAGACAAATTTTCTTGTATTAATGACTTTCAAGGAGAGACAATACAAGCTTGAGTGAAGATGCTGCCTTATAGTAGTAGAACAATCGGGGCCTGATGAACAACAGTTTTAGCGCCAAGTGTCATAAACAAAATGTGCTTTTTTCTCAAACAGTTATAATACTTCACTTGACCTTCAGGCAACTTTGATGACAAATCCCAGTCCAACAGGTCATACTTCCATCCCCTGACTATGTTACAGCCCTTCAGAGTTTAATTTTGTCACGCCCTTTTATTTAATTTCAAAATCATTGTTCTGAGTCAAGCTAGTCAAAATCGGCTGTTGGCTCATAACAACATCACCCTTCCATCGTTAGAATTAAATGAAGGATGATCATCGCAGTTGTAAACGCAACTTTTGCAGTTGCGAAAAGAAAGCCTGAAAAAAAATCAGGCTTGTACTTTGGGCTTGTACGGGATTCGAACCCTTAACCTCCGCAATACCGATGCAGCGCTCTACCAATTATTTTTTTTTTTTTTCTGCTTTCTTTTTCTTTTTCTTTTTGCCTATATAACTGCGATGATTATCCTTCATTTAATTCTTCACTCTGCAGTTCACATATATTATTTCCATATATTCATAATTTCATCATCTTTCCATCATTATTGGATATTTACCATTGTGCTGCATAAATGATTGTGTATCGCTCAAATGATCAATCTAGTGTGGTTCTTTCCCTAAAGGGCTGAGTCACAGATGTTCAAGGCGAGATTCACCGGCTGGGATGATGTATTAGCTGTGGACTACACGCTGAGTGCTGATTATGTTGCAAAGGCCTCAAAACAACTGGGTGTTACGGTAATTTGACATAGGAGTACTGTGCATCAGAGAGCTTTAGATTCTTAGACGAGTACGACTACGAGTACGAGATTTTCTCAATACTAAGTAGTGCTCGCGCGTGAACCAGCGTCATTTTGGCTAACCTGAGATTAGGCTCTATTTTCGTTTCGCTTTTTAAATAACATCAGCGGTAGCCGTTAGAGAGAATGTATGAGAACCGCTCAAATTGGGCCTGATCTCGGGTTACATTTTGGCGGGAAAACGTGGTAGCCGTCATCACCCTACTACGAGTTTTAGCGAGAATGTCGAAGTAGCGGAAACAAGATATCAAATGTTAGAAGTTTTATCATTTTGCGATCAGGAAAGGGTTTAATCTCCTTCACTAAAGCTAACAGTGCTAACTTTTCTAGTGAAAAATGTTAAAATGAAGCCTTCCGTGAAGTCTCTATTTTGAGAATACGCGAAAAAACTTGAAGTCAAATCTCGTACTCGTAGTCGTTCTCGTCCTTGAATCTAAAGGTCTCTAATGAAAGGGGCTGTACGTTGAGATAAGGACAAAGCCACAGGTTTCATTACAGTACTGAAAATATTCCTAGAAGTTCTTGGTAAGTGCAATGAAACTCATTATGGTTTTTAGTCTTGCGCAGTGTACATGTACATGGACAAGGAAACGGTAAAATTTGCGATTTGCAAAAGAAAGACTAACTTTTCGTAATATTTCGAACAAACTGTTTAAAATAGTAGTTTAGTGCTGTCCTTCCATTGATGAAATGTACATGTACATCTTAGAGATGTGCGTTCCACCTGTGCTAAAGCAGCTGATTTCAGATTTTATTGTTTTTGCACTATTTACATATTGATAACGTTAGAAGTCCCATTATTGTCAGTAAGTAACTTTTGTCAAGATTCCAAGTCAAAGTGCCTATTTGATGTCCTACCGAAAAAAGGAGGATTGAGGTCAGTAACTTGCTGCTGTGTTTGAACTCACCACTACCACCAAAAAGTGGAGCGGTTTAGTTTGCAGTGCAGGTTTTTTTAGAAGGATACGAACACCAGAATTTTCTCATGGCTGTGGTGCATGTGCAAGTCGCCACAGATGCTCATGAACATACTTGTCTTTTTTAAAAGTGGTGCGGGTGGAAACTCAGGTAGATGCAGCGCGTTTTGTCATCCTTGTACCTCGTAGAAACCATGTTTGATGTTTCCTTACATACATACATACATACTTTATTTGAACAGCTCCCTGTCTAGGGCTCTTCCGCCGTCAATACTAACAACTAATTACATGAATATATCCTAATATGCTAAAAACTAAAAGTTACAAATTTAACAAATATTTACAGACTTCCTTGTCTCTGTAATGAAATGAAAAAGAATGGGCTCTTTGCAGAGAAGCAGTCACATTCAGCACAAAAACACCTTGCTGGAGGGCAAACAACTCAGTAGAACCTTAAAAAGAAAGGACAGTAGTTCCTTGTTTTTCTTGCGCCACATCGTCGTTTGCTCTCCAGCATGGTGTATATGTCCGTTTCTCTGCAAAGGACCCATTGTAGTTGAAAGTAACTACAGACGGTGCAATCGTTTGATTCAGTATTGATCATTAACCTTTGTTTGTTGCACAGAACATAACAACCAAGGAAGCTCAAGCTAAACTGCAGAAAGCTGCCAAGGTAGAAGTCCATAATAATACGCATTGTAACAGAAGCTTTCAGTTAAACACGTCATATCTGTTTGTAGTAAAATCCAACTAGCGTTCTATTATCAATGCTACGTTCTGATTGGTTGAGCTACTACTAGGCTATATGTTATAGCCCACTAGTAGCGAAAAGCACCGGCTTTGAAAACCAAAACAATGGCGGCTGAATCGTGTTTTGCTAGCTTAAGTTGTTTTGTCTCGATATTTTGGCTCTGAGTCAATAGTCCATTTGGCCTTCGGCCTCATGGGCTATTGACTCAGAGCACATTCGGGCTTGAGGAATAATTGTTAAGTATTGTTACTTTGGTTAGAAACAAAATTAGTGCAGTTCTCTTGGAGCACAGATGCTTACATTTAGACCGATCCCTTACACTTAGTTTAACTTGCATCCTTTTACTTGTTAACTACCGATGCGGAGTTGCTCATGTGCTGTCTCGGTAAAAGTTATTGTTTTCTTCACCAGGTTGATCTGTCTGCCCTGTTCACCACTCGGCAGCAGCCTATCCCAAATAATGAGCAGGTAAGTTGTGTTATGCTGTGAGTGCTGATAAGTGAGAAACTCTACAAATTCTTTTGAATTGCAAGTTCTAGAAATGAAAGTGAGATAAACCAGGAATCCCTTTTATTCCTCCCTAATACTTGAGCCGTTTCGTGAGACAATTTCCCCTTTTTTGAATTATAAATCAGGTTACAGAGTCAGTAACAGAGAAATGTTTTTAAACTACGAGGAGCAGCTAAACCTTGAGGTGCCTGGATACCTGGCTATCCTTCCATCTAGTCCGTGATTCTTTGAGAAATTTTAAGCAAACGTTTAACAGTGGGCAACTAAGCGACCATTTCTTATCAGGATAGTGAATTAGACATTTCTGAGTTGCCTCTGTTTCAAAGCGGGGCTAAATACGAAGCGATAATACGTTTCTGGGAAACTGCCCACCTACCCCTCCCCTAACAAACATTTTGCCCTAAGTGAGATGTAAGTGTTACTGTTGGCTTAGGGGAGGGGTAGGTGAGCAGTTTCCCAGAAACGTATAATGATTCAAATGATTTTTATTCTCATGCAAATAAAACTCATTTTCAAAAGAAAGGTTTTGCCTCGTTTTGAAAGTGATTTTTTCGGAACTCGTTTTAATCAATTTTTTCTTCATGGCGTGTTTTAAAAGAGACTGAGAAAAGTATTTTACTTGTCATTAAGGAACAGTTTGTGGAAGAATGGAATGAAGATCTTGATGGCATGGAGTGCTTTGTTTTGGAAGGAAGAAAGTTTGTTCGACTTCCTGAAGACGAAATAGGTGAGTAGTAGCTACAGTTGCTCTCGGGTGATCACATCCCTTGCCATTCCACACACAAGACACTAACATTAGACCTTCTGTTACACTGACTGCACTTGATATAAGATCCAGAGAGAGATAAAAGATTTATCGTTTGCCCAAGTAAGAAGGAGAAAATGAAGTTTTAAACATGTGCCTGGCTCTACGTCCTTTTCTGTACTATTGAACGTTCGCCTTTCAGTTATGGTTGCGTTTGTTAAAATTAAGTTAATTTGTGTCCACCTTTAGGTCATTTCTACACTGGTGACTGCTATGTGTTTCTGTGTCGTTACTGGGTGCCAGTGGAGCAACCTGAAGAGGAAGATGAAGAAGAGGAACCCATAGAGCAGGAAGAAGACTTCCAGTGCGTGGTATATTTTTGGCAGGTTAGTTTCTTACTAGATAGTGCATACCAAAAGTAGAAGGTTTACTTTAAGGTCACCTAAATGAGATCGTCCCATGGGTTTCTACTTCACTGGAGATAGCTGAATCTTAGCTCTCGTGAAATGAACAGAATATTTTACAAAACGCTGTGACATTTGCTAGGAACTAAGTGACCGTGGAACGCAGTGAATGGATACTGGGCTGAAACGCCTGATCGCCCCTAGAAATCAAACCAGATGGGTGACATTGACTCAGTATTTCCTGTGCGTAGCCGCCATCTTTGGATTTGAAACAGAATGTTAAAGAGTAGCGGGAAATGATGAGAGAGGCGGGCATTGAGCACTGCCCGCCGCCCCCTACCCCTAACCCCACCCCTTGGACTCCTTCCAACTCCTTATTTGTTTTTATTTGAATGCGTTGATCAAGTACATAACCCGCGTAAATTCTAGTACTTTCGCCCCACCCCGCGCAAAAAAAACCGCCCAACTTCAGTAATATATATGGCTTTTATATCTTCTTCTGAGTAGTTTGCACTGCATCTAACTTGCTCCAAAAATGCAACATCATTTTGTAAGCATACTACACAAATTAACTTGCACCATATAGTTGTTCGTTACATCATTTTGTAAGCATACCACTCAAATTAACTTGCATTCTCTCTTGCTTGCACCATATAGTTGTTCGTTCTAACGGGGAGGGAATTTTTACCTAGAGTGACATGTCTTGGTCAGCCTTTTATAGTCATTACTTTTTAAATGTTATAGGGAAGAGATGCAAATCAGATGGGCTGGCTGACTTTCACATTCAGGTTAAATTTAGCTATACCTCTTTCTAGTTAGTTACTTATGCAGTATCAAACTTATAAAATTAAGTGCTGCTAGTCTTTTTAAAATTTACAACTGAACGAAAGTTTTGTAGTGATCTACTCGTTTATCCGTTTTCAGTACAATCACGTCAAATGCGTTAAACTGTTAAACGTTATAATCGGCATATCCAACTGGTGAGATTCTATCCTAATTTAACCAGAAAGCAAATTGAGCGTGTGAAAAATTAGTACGTCTATTTTTTCAAGTTAGTTATTTTGCAAGAGTCTCTGGTTTGCTGTTTCTGACTTCCTCTACTATTTACCACCATGTATTTGATTAGGTAGTTTCCAATGACATACCCTGCTAGCAAGCTTTCCATTTCGAGTGGCGAGTTGCGACAACTGAGAACGCTCGAGTGAGCGGTGTAACCACCAGTCGTTTTGCCTTTCGCCCGCAAAAAGGAGAGTTTGCTCACAGGCCAACAATGACACGACACTACTTTACTAAACACGAGCATTTTGAAATATATTCTAGCCTTCGTATCAAAATAATTAATAAAGACCAGTTTAGAGGAGAAATAACTTATTTGGGGGGTTTTCGGGATGAAGTTCGACCTTAAATTTGCATTTGAGGTCAGTACATGGCTCTCTTTCAACCACACTTGAATCTAAAACAATTCTCTTGTTATTTACAGTCTTCAAAAGAAATTCGAGATGCTGTTTGGTGAAAAACTGGAAGTTGTTAAAACTCAGCAGGTACATTAAGTCTGCATCCCTGTTTATTCTCCTGAGTTAATTAAGCTAAAACAAAATAATGGGATGTGAAATTTGAGATGTAGAATGTCGTAAAGTTGTTTAGGCCCAGGCAAAATTTGTGCGAAAGTTTGTGTTCTTATCCTTGGTTTTATCGCTGGCAAAGTTATACCCAATGGTTCTTTCACTCTAGTTGAATGTTTTATAAATCATAAAGGTGCAGTGTATGAATACTGCATTCATTGCTTGCTGCAGATAAAGTTGTTGTAATCTGAATAAGGCCTCCTCCACACCTATATGGATATTTTTTTGCCCTTTTTCGGAAAAAAAAAATATGCGTCCATCAGTAGCAAATTCAAATCTGCGTTTCCGCCCGTTCACACAAAAACGCTATAACGATGGAAATACGATTGCATTCCTTACAGGGCATGCGCTGTGTGACTTATAACATCATCGTATTCGAAACCTCCGTGTTTTTTTTTTTTTTTTCATCCGTCCACAAGAAAACGGTAAGTAGACGTTTTTCAAAAAAAACGATCTCTAGGCTGGAGGGCCTTTCTGAAAAGATGCGTTTTCGGTGACCGTTTTCACCCGATACGTGTGGACGGTAGGCCAAACCGGTGGAAAACTGCCCACCTACCCCTCCCCTAGGCCATCATTTTGCCCTAAGTGGGAAGTAAGGGTTAATGTTAGCTTAGGGGAGGGGTAGGTGGGCAGTTTACCAGAAACCTAAATTGTCGGATCCAAAAAAACAAACAGTGATCTTCGTTTTCAAACAAAATCGGATACGTGTGGACGGAGCCCAAAAAATCGGTTGCGCAGGGTTAGAAATCTTGATGGATTTTGTTTTAAATACCTCTCCCTTGGACTTTTTCTTACGTTTTTTTTTCAGCAACAAGAAGCACCACGATTCCTTGCTCATTTTAAAGGAAAGTTCATCATTCACAAGGTGCAAAATATTTACAGTATTGTTTTGCTTTTCTTAGAAAGTTTCCTACTTGATGGAAAGTTTGGGGGTGATTATGGGCCAGTTATTACAGTGTATAAGTGTTGTGGTTCAATTTTATCCTTGGTTTAGATTTGATTTTCTTTTGTTTCAAACTCATTATCATACATTACTATACCCGAAAAGAAAAGAAAGGAAAAGAATACTTAAACCAAGGATAAAACTGAACCACAACATAGTACTGTATACGTAGTTTAGCTGATGTGTAACAAAATCTCATTTAGGACATTTTTAATTCGGGTAAACTTGATGTTTTTGCAAATGTACTCAACAGTGTTTACTCTAAAGAGTACAAAGAAGGCATCGTAATGCAAACTACATATAGAAAAACATCTTATTTAGAATAGAGCCAACCATAATAGTACGTACCTCTTCACGTACACCTAAATGGACACCTAAAGGTGTGTCGATGGGGTTTTTCAGGATGAGTACCTCCAAATTCTGAGCATGAACTACGTTGCGATTAACAAAGATTTGGCAAAATTACCACCACAACTGTCTGAACGATTTTGGAAGAACAGTTTCCAGTGCCGAGAAATACGGCTGCAAGTAAAATAAGTAATGACGTCATTTCGTTGCCATGAAATGATAACTCCAATGTCATTTTAACCCTATCATAAAAAATTTTCATCTTTATCTAATACAGCTGTGGCAATAATTTTTCCCTGAAATTTTGGCTGGCTTTCTTTCCAACAAAGGGATAAATTTGATCTGTAAAGAGAAGTAGGTAAATAGCAAAATTAGCGGGGTTTTTTCCCCTTGTTTTTTCGTCTTTAACTCTGTCAGCTGGAAAGATCTATCCTCGCTAATTTTGCTAATTAACATTTTAATAACTTAAATGGAAAACTTAATGGGGCCAGAAAGAATAATATACATGGGTCCATATGGACCAAAAACCACCAAAGCCGACGTCAAAGAGTTAAAAGGCATAATATGGACCTTCTCTTCTAGCGGTGTGTGTCTTAGACAGAATTGAATGTAATCCACTTGTAGTTGTTAACATAATTATGTGTAAGTCCACTGGTTTTGACAGTACTTGTTCTAGTTAGCTCTAAGGGTTTTTTTAATAATTGATTAGACTACGAGTAGTCCCCCATTTCTCCTCAGGGATAGTAGAGCGAGCGAAACGCGAGCGCGCGTGAAAATCACCCTACGCAAGAAAAGCATGTAGCCTTTTCTTGAGTGGGGTGATTTTAACCCGCGCTCGCGTTTCGCTCGCTCTACTATCCCTGGGGAAAAATGGGGGACTACTCGTAGACTAATAATTGATTTGACCAACAGGGAAAGCGAAAGGAACCCATTGAGAACAACAAACCTAAGTTCTATCATATTCGGTCCAGTGGCGGTATATTGGCAAAGAGAGTTATTGAGGTAATTTTAATAGTACCTTTTTGTTGACCGTCTAATTCTCTGTCCCGTTTTATATCACTTAAAACAATTACTTCTAAATAAAGGCCAGTTTTTTAAGAATCTCAGTAACAGGTGCCGAAGCTTGAACAACTCTGTAAAACACCGGATTGTTCACAGTGCAGGATCGTGTTTCATTCAAATGAGCGCTCGAATGTTACCACTAACTTTTAAAGTATAACAAACAGCATTGTAGCGGAGGAGTGCGTGATAGCGTTTTTTTTATCGGAATAGTGGTAGCGTTAAATTTTATTCACATGCCTAAGTTGTACTGCTTTTAAAAAAGGTTTTCCGTTGAACGAGATCACCCTGTTTTTTAATTAAAAGCCAAGGAGATTAAAAGATATGTTAAAGATTATCATTTAAACATGTCATTGTTTATTTTGTAGATTGAGACAAGTGCAAGGCACTTAAACTCTGAATTCTGGTAAGTAACAATTAACTGTATATCTTGTCAAGGTAAATCTGGATGTTTTAATGACTAAAGGCACTCTTGATGTTCCTTGTACTTGAATGTACTAACGCAGTCTTTGCAATCGATAGCTACATCTTGAAAGTTCCTTTTGAAAATTATTCAGAAGATGGAATCATCTATGTCTGGATAGGCAGGTGGGTGCATGTTTGAAAAGAGTAAGTTTGTTATCAACTGTGATAATTTTTATTTAGATCCAATAACATAGATAGTTTTCAATCACG